ACATCTGTGTTCCTTGGCTTTCTGCATTGTCTTGTGACATTTTTTTTTTTTTTTCCCCCTGTTTTACAGAGTTTTGGTCCTGGACAGAGGAGAAGTGGTGGAGTGTGGTAGCCCAGACCAACTACTTCAGGAAAAAGGCATTTTCTATAGTATGGCCAAAGATTCAGGCTTGGTGTAGCATTTGAACTTGGCTAGTTCCTGGGGGAAAGAGGGAGGTGATAGATTCAGAGACCTCTAAGTTCCCCTGAGCTGGTGTGAACAGTTCAGTTTCAGACCTAGTGAAGCCAGCCAGAGAGTGGCATTGGAAGAAACATAAAAATGCAATTTTTTTAAAATTTTTTTTTTTAGTTCTCCTTACTATTGATTTTAACCAGCTTTAGGAGAAGCACATACACAGTGCAAAACACTCCAGAGACTTACTTTTTGCCTGAAACCTGTCATTATATGCTCAAATGTAAGGTCGAGTGATTCATCAGAGAAGTTCAGAAGGGCTTTTGCTTTCCATCTGCTCTTATGTTCTGAAGGCCCCCTGCCTTTTTTTGTTAAACATTTTTGCAAATCCTAGTTGTTTGCTTCTTTGCTGAGTCCTTGTTTGATGAGCCATCTGTTGTGGGATGCACTTGGAACATTTTGTGGCATATAATACTATAGTCCAAAGATTTTTCTTCTTGTGTGATAACATGTGCCAGACGTTCTCATTATGGCATTTACTGTACATGGTTAATGCTTTTATGCATTGTCCTAAAGGTTTCATGTGTTTACAGTGTATAGCAGCAAGTTCACTATAATATGTCAGTAGTGCTGATGTGAAGAAGCACAGTCAACTTCAGAGCAGTATTGAAGTATGTCTAGAACGACAATCACTCCAAAACCAAATTCATGGGGCAGCTGGTGTGGTGCAGTATGCAGTACCTGATCTTGCACCCACGTCCCTCCGGAATCCTGACGTGGGCGGTGCATCCTGGTTACACCTGTGGGGACTGGGCTGTGAGGAATGAGGACTTGCCTGAGCAGATGTGGCAGGCTTGGCGTGATGTTGATTGTAATACCCTTGGCTTTGGCAGTTCTCTGCTTTAATAGCAGCTCTGCCACATCAAGGACCATTAGCCTTATATTGAAGAAACATGCCCTTCATGCTGCTGCTGTTGACAGACTTTTTGGGAAACTGTTTTGTTAAGAGTTCTTTAAAACCAGTAAAACTTTTTTTAAAAACTTGTCAGAAGGGTCTTACAAGTCAATTGGCAATGGAGTCTGGTTTTCAAGATCTGTGTTGAATGTTCAGTTTTCTGTGGGAAGAAAAAAGTTACTTCTCTCATGTTCTTATCAGTCTTATTTTAAAGGAAAATGCTGGAAAAAGGCAAACAAAGTCAGAAAGACCTGAATACTCAGCACTCAGACTGTGGACTTCTGTGAATGATATTGCTGACCTTAATACTAGACAATTGTCTTCTTTAGAGTAAAGCTATTTATTTTTTTGTAAATTATGACTCTCTGAAATTGAACAGACTTAAATTTTCTTTGGTATTTTTTGTAATTACTATACAAATATTTGCAAAGAACTTGAAATAAAAAAAAAAGTTTGAGAGCTAACGTGTCATTTCTTGCTTTGTGTTTGACAAAGGGTTAGCTTTGTCAGCTCAGGTTTTTGCCTTGAAAATAGAAATGATGGATTTAGGCTGCTAGGCCTGATGTGGGTGCTGTTAGGATGGGTAAGCAACCTTGAGCACAAGTAACTGAGTGGTGTGGTAGGGCTGGATCACATCTCTGGTTTCTCCTGTAATTTGAGTACTGCAGTATGTTGAGCAGACTAGGTAATAACAATGGATCAGTAGAGCAGGAGTCAGCAGCACTGTGGACCTTTGCCATACCCCTGATGGCCGTGCCCTGTGTCTGCCATGTTCCTGGGCAGCTTTGTGTTAATTTCCTCCTGGAAATGGAATGAGCAAGAGATGATCTGGGAGCCTGGGGAGGAACGGTGGGTTTTGGTTTTTCAAAGCACCTAACGCTTTTTCAGCATTGTGATGGACAGAGGGGTGGAAAGGTTGGAGGAAACGGTTAGTAAAGAACAGAGCATAGGGCAGAGGAATGAGCTTGCTGGTTAAGGTGTGTGGTTGGTATTGTTTTACTCGGCTGCGTTTAAATGGAGATGGATCTATCTGCAGAGGAGACCTGGAGGAAGAACTGTGAAATACCACCATGAGACCTTTCCTGCTTGGGGACAGTCATCCACCAAGGAATACTTTGTGATCCTTCCCCTTCCATCACCTCTTAGAAGAGCCCTGGGAAGGAAAGGGCAGAGGGGCTGCTGGCATTGGATGATCAGAGAGCAAATCCCCTGTGTCCTCTCCTTGCCTGTGCAAACTAGTTGTCACCACCACCTTCCTCAATGTAGAGCTGTGGAGAAGGTCCAGCAAAGAAATCCAGAGAGGATTTCAAATCCATTTGAAAAGTCTTGTGAGTTTAGTGTGGCTTGTTACAGAGATAGAGACTCTGCAAGTACTTTGCAGGTTCAGGGTTGAATTCAAAGGACGTTGTATTGCTGGAGTTCTTACTTGAGTGGAAACTGATTTCAGATTTGAGGAAATGTTTTCAGTTGCACACTGATTAACAGAGATATACAAGCCTTAACATATTAGTGTGAGGAAGTCCTCTGAAGACACTGGAACAGCACTCAGCCTGATTTGTTTGAAATACACAACCTGTAGAATTTATACTTCTGCTGTGTAAAGTGTTTGCAGTGGAATTATCTGTGTAGGAATGACTTAAACTGCATTTGCAATTTGAAACTGGGTACACTAGAAAGTGTCACTGGACAGTGTCCTCTGTCCTATTCATGAGCTGCTGGTGATTATTTGGGGAACTGTGTGTCCCAAATGCTGTATTTTGCAGGATAACCTTCTAAATAGTGTGGCAAGGGCTCAAAAGACTGGTCTGTGTGTGCCTCTGTCTTGTTCTTTTTCAGTTATGTGGTTATTAATCTGCATTGTTGTGTTCTCCCAGTTTTATGTATTTACATACTTGGCAGCACAAACTGTTCTGCCTGACCTCAGGAGTGTAGATATTGCTTCCTGATTGCCCTACACCCCTGTCAGTGCCTTGTGGTGTTGCTGCATTGATTCAGGATCCTGATTCCGGGTGTCTGTACTCATAAAAATGATGAATATCTTGTCTGGATGCAGCATGAACAAAATTATCTGAACTAACCTTTACTGCACACAGAGCTAACTGAATAAATGCAGCTTCTTTCAGTGTTACTGGGACCAGTTGCAGAAAATGATACAACCTGCTGCAAGGTAAGGTGTTAGAGAAGGGCATTAAACCCAGTAGATTTTCCTTATTTAATCTTGTTTGATTTTGGTGCGTGTTGGACACGTGAAGTGGCAGCTCAGGGTGATGATCCTTCCCAGCAGCAGTTGCAGGGGAGCATTAGTAAATTCAGGCATGTGACATTGGATTCCAGGAGCTGAGCTGTGCCAGACACCCCTCTTTTTGGTGTCACATGTTCTTTTCTTCAGCCAAGCTAACGTCAGCTGTGAATGCGGGGGGAGCTGTACTGAGAGCATGTTCTGCAAGGAGTGTCCTAGTCCTTGGGAAGGACATGAGCTGGGCACCTCTCTCCAGCTGCTGCAGAGCAGGACTGCCATGAAGTGTGATGCTGTGGCATGGCCTCAGTTCTTCCCCTTCCCATTCTCCAGGTCCCCTCCTGGTGAACAGGTAACTGTGCCCGCTCAGAGGATCTTCATAGCTGGTAGTCTTGTACTTTTGTAGGTAGCCCAGTAGGTAGGTTCTCATTTCCCTCATTTCCTACATGGCGTGTGGAAGATTAGCTCCATGGATTTCCCATATTTATTTTTCTTTACGTGTGCTGTCTTTAACAAAAAAAGTAAATAATTTAGATCAGCAAAAAAAAGAATGGAAACCTTATTTAGCTATATTGCTGGCTATTTATGTGTATTTCATGAAAAATTTGTCAAGTACTTGTTGGGTCTGGAAGTGAGTGGCCGGACTTAGCATCCTTGCCCTTATCTAGAGAAAGATAAGAGCTACAGAAAGTGCCTCTCTTCAGTTCCTTCTGTGCTCTTTGCTGTATGGATTCTTTTTTTCCAGTCTTTAAGCCCCTTGTCTTTCTCTGAGAATCATTTTGTTCTGATGTTTGCTAAAATGTTAGGGATCTGTGAAACCAGTTGAGATCCTCCTGTGCTGTACCTTCTATCTTACAGCAGTGATGTGTTGTGCCACTGCAGTCCACAGTGGTGGTGAAGAAGAAAGTGGTGGTGGTCTTGTTATAAGCATGATAATACTTATGAAAAAAGTAAAAGAAAACCATTGAATTCACTCTATCAAATATCAGTGCATGCTGATATATCCTGCCTGACGTTAATTGCTGCAATAGGGAAGATAATTCACATCTGGAAGAGCTGATTCTGCTGAAAAAAACAGCTCAGGGTTTTCAGGAGACCTGCAAATGATATCCTAGTTCTCCATGTGTGTGAATACAACTACTTGTGTAAAACTTCCCAGTCTTCAGACCTCTCTGAACACATCCTTTAGTGCTTGAACTACAATGCAGCACAGGAATGGTTGTGCTGTGGGTCACTGATGCCTTCAACATTTTGGTATTCCTGTGCGTTTTGTGACCATTCAGGTAACTGGGGGCACAACTTCCAACTGTGTATTTGGCATTAACTTGCTGTGAATCAATGCATGACACCTTCTTTCCTTATTTTCTAGCTTTAGTAACTTAAGGTTTACCTTGAGCTTGGAGTCATGGGACAAGTTGGGGTTTTTTTTAGATGATTTTTCTCTCCTACATAGATTGTGATTTCACTTTGAGATAGCCTTAAATGATGAGGAAAAATGAAAGGAAAAAAAAAAAAAGTAAATGAACTTGGAATGCTATAAAATCAACTGAAAAGAAATATACAATACTTGTTTTTTTTTTCGTTGAAG